ACACACACACACACACACACACACACACACACACACATACACGCACGCACATACATATCTCCCTCATGCAGAGCCTGGCAGCATCAAAAGACACACAGAGACAGGGATAAACACGCTCTCTTCTTCTTTTTTCCCTCCTTTTGTTATCTAATTTTCTTATAAACGCAGAAACACACGGTGGCTCCCACTCATCTTTTCCTATCGCTGCCGTTCACGCCGGGACCATCTTCTTTCATACATGAGCAAACAGTGTGTGTCCTTCTCCCTCTCTCTGAAGAACACACACATTCCAGTTAATAACAAACGGCAAGCCAAAAAAAGAAAGGATAAACAAAAAGAGGACAAAATTCTCACACAGACATACACACACACACACACACAAACACACACACACACACACACACACAGCTGTCGTTCCAGACAAACACGCAGCTTCCTCACATCACACATGAAGGAGGAGGGAGAGCAAACCTGAGACGAAGGAGAGGCTTTGAAGCCCACTCCTCTCCTCCCTCCCAACAGCACATCAGCAATCTCTCCATCTTTCTCCACTCTACACACACACACACACACACACACACACACACACAAGATGATGGCAATCATTCCTCCCATCTGCTGTCTCCCACTCCCTCACCCTCACAAGTGGTGGCTGCCGAACAGGCTGCTAGACTCCCCAGCAGAGTCTGCGAGACCTGGTGTCCCACCTCCAACACCTCCCCTGACCCCCCACCCCCACCCCAATCCTCATCATCATCATCGTCCTGCTTTTCCTCCCCACAAAGCTAATTCCATTAAACATTCCTGACTGGAAAGGAAAGAGGGGCTGTCTTCTAATTGCTTTCTTATCCCCCTGAGTCTTCCCCTCACTCTCTCCTCCTTCTCCTCCTCTCCCCCCTTTCCTCCCTCCAGCCCGCCCCTCACCCTACGTGCTCTCTCTCTCTCAACATGGCAGCAGACAAGCAGAGGAGGGAGGCGAGCTAGAGAGCAGGAGAGATAGAGAGAAGGAGGCTGCTGCTGCTGCTATCAGGGAATATTGGTGCCATTTTCAGCATCGCAGGGTGAAAAGGATTGAGCCTCGCCGCCGCTGCACGCTCGGCTCAGCCCGGCTCAGCTCCCGCTCGCTCCAGCTCAGACCGGCCCAGCACGCAGGGAGGGGGGGAACTAGAGGGACGACGAGGAGGAGAGCACGGCTGACCTTTTAACGCAGGTACCAAGGCTTTTTCACCTGTCGTTTTACTTTGCAGCGGGGATGCGAGTCGCACCCGCAGACGGACGGAGTGATGAGGGCAGCAAAAGAAGGTGTGTGTGTGTGTGTGTGTGTGTGTGTGTGTGTGTGTGTGTGTGTGTGTGTGTGTGT